ACATCAGCCCTTAATCATAAGGTGCCCCAGCCCTCTCTGAGAAAGGGTGCCCTTTGATAGAGAATGAGGAAAATGACTGACTACAAACAGAAGGAATTCTATGGTGGATGCAGTTGTGAAAGACCGTCTTTATGAAGGGAAGTAACAAAAAAAGATTGTTGCAAATTCTTGGAAAGAGGGTTAGGAATTTTCCTGCATTAACATATAAATTATAAACATTATACTATGCTTTAAAAAAAAAATCTTGACCCTATTAGCTCTGGAGCTTTTGGGAAGTGGGCAGAATAAAGCCTAGAGTCCCCTGTCAGTTTTACATTTAACCCAGGCCCATCATGGCATGGAAAGTGGCTAAAAGAAGAGTAACATGTTAATGCTCGGTTCCTCTCTTCTATGCCCTTCCTAGCAGGGGGCAGTTGGCACTGAGACCAGTCAGATGCTCCTGACTCATAGGACACCAGGCATCCTAGGCTGAGGTCATTCCATCCTTCCCCGAACTATCTCTGTACCCCTTCCTCCACAAACAAAAATCAACTACACTCTTTCGCCCTAGACCCTGCTCTTTGGGCAAGTACAACAAGAAAAAAAAGTTTTGTTCCTTCCACCCTTTCACTGTTCTCCTGTTTCTCTTTGGCATGCAGGAAGCTCTCCCTGATTGCTCACTAGTTTCCTGCCATTCTGAAATTCCAGGAAGACAGGAGATACTTTGACGCCTGCATTTTTTTTTTTTTAACTGTAAAGCCAGGAAATTGTGGAGAAAACTTTCTGTAGGATTTGTGATTGGGTATAGGTGACTTAAAAATAAATCCTCCTGTCAAAGTCTTGTCTCACCTTACTCCTAATACTCCCCATCACCAAGTTCCTAGCATGGTGTAAACAGTGAGCTTTTAACATCCTTAAGAGGGACCTCGTTGGCTCTGGCTTGGCTTAGTTCTTCCCCAGCTGCCTCAGTAGATGCTTTTCTCAGATGAGTGCTTTCTCTTGTACTGTGTATCTGTTTCAGTACCATAAAAGGATTTATTTATCTAAATATGATCTAGTGAATAAGAGTGTCCACTGTAGAAAGCAGAAGTGGTTAGAACTCAGGGAGGACTTCCCGTCAGCCCTGGGTGAGGGAACACAGGATAGTCTCCCAGGCTGCACAGTCACAGAAGTGGAGATTGGAATGACTTCTAACCCATGGGGGCAATTCCAGCTTCTCAACATTACTTTGTGTTATTGATCCCAACAGCTATGGAAAAAAAGGGAGAGGAGTCTGGATGCAACGATCTGGGCTCAGGTTCTGACCCGGTGTGAACTGTGGTTTTCATGGCTAACTATAGAGCCCAAACTATCCAGAGACATACAGGGGTTCCTAATTCCATTTTTTTCTCTTCTGATACAAATGGGGGGTGGGCAGGAAGGGGGTGGAACATGAGTTCTTTGCCTTTTTAAGAAGTGTAGTGGGGGGTGGAGAACAGAAAGCATCAGTGGTTAGGAACGTTGACTTCAACAAAAATAACCACCTGCCACTCACAGATACTCTACCCGAGGTCATAGGAGACTGGCCCTGGGTCGTATGTGTGTTTTCTATGGCTCTGGGCGACTGCACTGCTGCTATGACCAGTGTATGGCTCTGCTACAGACAGGAAAGGGGAGGCTGGGGTGGCGGGCAGGAAGGGGTGGGGAATAAGCTGAACAGAGTGTCTCGGCAGCGACAGCAAAGAAAAAAAAATTCCTGTATTCAGGCGGCCAGGATAGGGTAGGAGGTAGCAGGGGACACTGAACTTCTGAGACATCTTGGGAGGAGATTATCATTGTTGTCAGAAAGGTATTTGCAAAGAACGAACATTAAATAAGAGGCAAACTCAACTTTTAATTCTCACTCAGATTTTCTCCCTAAAAGGTGACCTTTCTCTGCAGATAAGATGGGGTGGTAGAGACTAATCAGACCACTGAACTTGGAGTAGGGGGAAGACTAGAGGTAGATGAGTCCCCTGTGGAGAGGCAAAGTGAGAAATATGAGAAAACAGGGATAGTTAGAGGCAAAGGGCACCTACCTCCTTCTCAGAAATGTAGAGCTGGTCGCCTTTCAGCATCACATAGCGGTTTTTCCAAATCTCTCTGAAAATCCCTTTCCCGCAGAATTTCCGGACCCAGCCGACCTTCTCAGGCGGTGCAGACGGATGATTTCCATCCTGAGGCCCCTGCCCCAGGGGCAAGACAAGAACCGGCCGGTTAGGCGGCTGTGGCTTTTCCTGCTCTCCGCCGTCCCTCACGGCCTCCTCGGTTCCCCTCTGTCCCCGGGGGCTGCAGTCGGGGAGCCCAAGGCTGCCTCGCCACTTCTCCAAGGGTTTTCACTCGGAGGAACTCTCTCCCCCTCGCTCCCCTCCCCCGTCTCCCCAATAAACAACCGAAACCGAGCGAGGAAGGGGCTCGGGCCGGCCGCGCGCAGCGGCGGCTCTCAGGGTTTCCTCCCAAGCCCCCGGCCGCTGTCCTCGCGGCGCCGGGACTAACGGCATTTTATTTCCTTTCTCATT